GGCAGTGCGGGTCTGGGTGGCAGTGTGGGCCCGGGTGGCAGTGTGGGCCCGGAGAGGCCCACCTTTGGGGTTCTGCAGCGGCAGAGAACTGCTGCCATCTTGTTCGGGCCTCTCCATGACATCGCAATGGAAGCGGCCGAAGAACTTGGCCCACTGCCCCGGGAGAATTACGGTGAGCCTGTCATTATTCAGGGAGGCTAGATCCTCTGTATTGAGAAGGATCATGATGGGCTCCTCGGTGCTCTCCAGGTAGCATGACCACACATCCAAGGCAGCCTTAATCGCCATAGTCTTCATCCTCAGCGGAGAGGAGTTGGCCTCCTCAGGAGAGAGGTCGCGGGAGAAGAAAGCGCAGAACACTCTTTTGCCGGTTTGCTCATCAACTTGCATGAGGGAGGCGTACAGAGCGGTCATGTTGACGCCTGTGTCCAAGTAGAACTGCTTGTGGCGCTTCGGGTGATGGAGGAGGGGTGCCTTGCGGAAAGCCCGCTTCACGCTTTCGAAGGCCTCCTGCTCCTCGTCACCCCAGTGGAAGGGGCTGGTGGTCAGCAGCTGCCGCCGCAGGGGCTCCGTGATGGCAGCGAAGCGCTCCACGAAGTGGCAGTAGGGGGACATCAGTTCCATCAGGTCTTGCAGGGACTCCTTAGAGAGAGGGATCGGGTAATCCCTGATGGTCTTCAATGAATTCGACAGTGTGTTGGTGGAACTGGCTCCTGTCCAGTGAGCAGTAGACGTGGTGGTGTCGGAAGCGGACCAGGACTTGGCGGATGTGCCGGAGGTGCGCCTCCTGGCTCATTGAGTAGATCACGACCTCATTTCCGTAGGAGAGCACACATTTGCCCAGCAGGTCTTTCAGGATGCAGTGCATTACGCTCTGAGGGATGACAGGGTCTGAGCTGATCTCAAAGGGCTGATAGCTTGTCTTCGTCTGAAGCTCCAAACCAAACGCTACTTTCCATAGCTCTTCTGCTGCCTTTTTCTTGCCTTCCTCCACAATGATCCCACGCAGCTCCAGCCTTGTGAACCACGTAGCTCCATGTAACTGTTGGAACAGTTCTGGAATTATCTGCCTCTCCTCCTGCGAGTCCTCCTCTTCATTCCCCAGCCTGGCTGTTTCTTGCATCCCAGCACCCACAGGTTCCGGAGGAGCCACAGAGGGACGCGTGTCGGCGGTGCTGCTGTGATCACTGTCTCCAGCCTGCTGAAGCTCAGAGGGCTCTGATTCAGAAAGATCATCGGATCCGTCTGAGCTTGGCTGGTCGGAAGTCTCATCATCTGCTTTCTTCGGGTTGAACACGTCGGCAAGGTCGGAATACTGGGGCAACAGTCCGGGCAGCAGGCTGATGGCATGTCTCTCGAGTGTGGTCGATGGTGGGAGTGGGCTGAAGCAGTTCTTCAGGCAGTAGGGAGAGTGGAAGGTGCAGCGGCCTCTGGCCCAGTCGATGTCGGGGGAGTGGACTCGGAGCCAGTTGATGCCCAGGACCACGGAGAAGTTGGGTGAAGGAACGATGTCGAATTCAATAAGCTCATGGTGGTTCTGATGAAAGCACACCAGAGGCTCGGTGTGCAGCCAGACGGGCTCGTTGCCAATCAGGGAGCCATCCATGGTGTGGATGGACTGTGGGTAGGGCTTCTCGAACAACTCGACGTAGTGCTCTTGGGCAAATCTCTCATCCATGAAGTTGGAGCTCGCCCCCGAGTCCACCAGCGCCTGTACCGCGACACTGTGGTAAGGGTTCACTCTCACCATGAGCAGCAGGAAGACGTGCCTGCGATCGATATCGGGCTGGATTTCATAGGTCAGCCAGCTGCTGACCGGCCACTTCTCTGGAGCAGGTGAGTCCATCTTGGTCAGGTTCCGAGAGTGGGTCTCTGGACGCATCCTGAGCACGGCCTTTCTCTCTGCCAGGTTCTCTTCTATCTGCAGGACGAGGGCCATCAGACTGTCCAGCGAGTCTGGCTGAGGGAGCTGGAACAGATACTGCCTGATCTCCTCGTTGAGCCCCAGGCACAGGTGGGCCTGCAGGACTTCGTCTGGCCAACCCAAGGTGGGTACCAGCTCCCGGAACTCGTCGATGTAGTCAATGGCGGCGCGGTCCCCTTGCGCGATGTTGAGCATGGTGTCTTCTGCCACACGCAGCTCCTCCTTGTAATGGAACATGTTGGTCATGGCCTCCATGAAGGCTGGGTAGTTGGTCAGCAGGGGGCTTCTTTGCCGCTTCAGATTTTGGGCCCACTCGAGGGCCGTGTCTGAGAGGTGACTGATGACGAACCTCACTCGCCGGCGGTCGTTGCGGAACTTTCTCGGGTAGCCTTGTATGATCATGTGGCAGTGCACGAAGAACTCCGGGTAATCTCTTCGGTCGCCCGAGAAGATTTGCGGTTCGGGCACGCGGCCTATTCTGATCGCTTTCATGAGGATCTCTATGGCTATTTTTTGCTGCTCTTTGAGGTCTTGCATCCAGAAGTACATAGAGGTGAAGGAGCTGACCCGGCCCCTTAACTCCAACTCGCCGGGCTCCTCCTCCTCCTCCTCGTCATCTTCACTTAGGTCAGTGTCGTCGTCTTCTTCGTCCAGCTCTCCCTCATTGACTGATGCTTCTTCCATCTCACCAGGCGCCTCACCGATGGGATCCCCCACTTCCTGACGGGAAGCCTTGCATGACTCCTCCAGGTCTTGGAGTAGGTCATTGGGTGGATCCTTTATTTCACTATGTCGGCCACTGGATGGCTCCTCCATGTCTTGGAGGAGGTCAATGGGCAGCTCTCCCATTCCCTGGGCTGGGCCTTGAGCCAGCCCCGCCGCCTCCTGTACTCCGCCTTCTCTCTCCATGGTGGTGTTGGACGAGCCCTCAGAGGACTCCATTTGTTTTGATGATGGATTCTTACGCTCCATCATCGTCTCAAATGAGTCTTCAGAGGGTTCTATCATTTCGTCGGATGGAAAGGAGTGTTCTCTGAAGACTGGTAAGGTGGTGATGCGTCCAGTCAGTGACTGGGCTCACAGCGATCAGAACCTGGTGGGGGTAGGGAGATGGGCAGGAAAGGCAGTGGTTTAGGATCTCAAGAGGTCAGGGTCAGATTCCCCAGGACAAATCCGATTTCCAACACATTAGAACAGCGAGAAACCAGGGAAGCCTTCGGGTCCCACGTGTGGTGCCCACAGGGAAAGAATAGAGAATATGTGTCAACCCCCGACCTTCTTGCCTACTCTCTCCCAGGCTTCCTCTGCCTATCTGGCCTGCCTACTTCCCAACGGCTGTGAGAAATTCACAGCCCATAAATTTGGTGGGGTGATGGGCCCAGAGCACCGTCGCCGGCAGGCACCTGGCAGAATACACTGGCCACTTCATTCCACCCTGGCACACGTGCCTGGTCAGTGCTCCTTCCCTCCTGTGATCACCCGAAAGCCACCGAGCTCACATGTCAGTGCGTCCAAAGCCAGCTCTGCAGGCCAAGTGCTCTGGAGCAAGCTTGGCCTCGGTGTGAGGCAAGAGCCTCTAGCAGGGATGCCTGCTATTTAACAAGTTCAGGGGAAGAGGAGAACATGGGCACTTGGCCACTATCCTGTCAGCTGGCTCAACTGCCCCAAATAGCTTTATTTCCTCCCCTAAATTCAAAGTAGAAATGGGCGTCCAAAGCCAGCTCTGCAGGCCAAGTGCTCTGGAGCAAGCTTGGCCTCGGTGTGAGGCAAGAGCCTCTAGCAGGGATGCCTGCTATTTAACAAGTTCAGGGGAAGAGGAGAACATGGGCACTTGGCCACTATCCTGTCAGCTGGCTCAACTGCCCCAAATAGCTTTATTTCCTCCCCTAAATTCAAAGTAGAAATGGGGGAGGTTTTATTTTTCCCATAAATATTTAGAAAACATCAAGGAGGTGCCAGAGATGTGCACGTTGCGATGCGATCCTAACTTGGAATTTTTGGGCTAATTTCTCTTCCTCTCTTTCATCAACTTGCATTGCTGTGTTTTCCTCAACTCTGAGTTGTTGAGGAAACCTGCCAGTCATCTCCCCCTGCCCCCACCCCCTCCTAAAATCTCTACTTTCCCTGGATTGCCCTCTCTGTCTGTGGGGTTCAGGAACTTCCGAAAGTTTGGCCTCAGTTCTACACGTGCAAAACGTATTGACTTGCCCTCCCCTCTACCCCTCCCGCCCACTTCCAGTCTTACTGGGTAGGGCTGACCCCGCATTCTAGCAGACAGACCCTCTCTGTTGCTGGTTGGTTTTCCCCTAACATAGGGGTGTATCCAGTTGAGTTGGGATATTGAGTGAGGAATAGAGGTGGGAGGTCTCTTTGACATCTGATTGTCTTGGAGTGGACTTTTGAAAATCTAGTCCTGGTGTTTTTAGTGGACCAAGACTGAATTTAAAGCGATGTTTTGGACGGGTTTTGCACATTTCTTCTCTGCTGGGGCACAGCAAACTGAGTTCTGGTCATTCAATAGGTTAGCTCTACGGTTACTGCTTTTACTTGTGTAACACCTTTTGTTACTTCTCGGTTTTCTCCATTAAAAACAAACATTCATGCCCTTTAGAAAACTCTTCATTGCCTAATGTCCAAACCATCCAATGAGATACAAAATTCTGATCTGCTGTTTCTCAAAATTAAGTAAGTCATCATTAGCATGACAGTTAAATTTGATCCTGCAGGACCTCTGATTAAAACTTTTGTTGTTTCTTTACTGTCTACATTATTAAGTCCAAATGTTTTTGCATAAAATTCCTGACACATAAACTCCCCCAAATCATTTTCTGGCTAAAATTTTAAGGCCATAGAATAGAAAATTCTGATCATGCTATTTCTCAAGGTAGATATTATATTTTTTTAGCATAAAATCTCATCATCACCATCTTCTTCATCACCATTATCTCCATCACCATCAGCATCTACATCACAGAATACCTTGCATAAATTAACTTATTTTCTCTTCATAAAAAGCTATGTGCTATTATTGTAAAATTACAAGTCTGTGGTATAAAGTTCTAATTGAAATACTAAATTTGACTAAGTAATTCACCTAATTTTCTATTAGGAATAAAAATCTCAATATATCTCTTAAGACCCATAAAACCCTCTTTTGGCTAAAATTTTAAATTTAAATTGGTTAAAATATAACATTTAAAATATAAAACCTCAGCATCTCACTAAAAAACACTTAAAACTATTCATTGGCTAATATTTAAAATAAAAAAATTGATAAAATTTAAAATCTCATATGTCTTTTAAAACCTTTGGCTGATATAAACTTAACTTGATTAAAATTTAAAATCTCAATATGTTCCCTATTATTAATATTAAAATTTTAATATTTAAAATTTTAGTTAATTAAAATTTTATTTTAGTATATCAAAGTCCTTAAAACTCTGTTGGCTAAAATTTAAACTCCTTAGCAAGATGATTTAAAAACTATAGATCATATACCCCTTCTTTAATATAAAGTCTACAATTATTAATATATTTACAAACTTGATGATGCAATTGATTAAGCCCTTAAACTTTCTTGTCCTTAACCTAAAATCAACTATCCTCAGCATGTCATAAAAACTCATCTTAATAATCCTTTTAATATCAATGTTTAAACTTTTAACAAGATGCATAAATATTATCTCATCACCTCTCTATTTAAAGGTTGCAAATGTTTTTTTTCACCGTTTATAAAATATGAAGTTTCAATCACTTACCATAAAACAAAATTTTTTTACCACGTAATTTATTTTCAATCTGACGGATATAGAACCCAAAGTCTTACCTAACTACTTCCTAAACTACTTATTGACTTAATTCCAAACTTCTAAGCATGATACAAAAATTTGACCATGTCATTTCTCAAAATAAAAGGTCACACTTCTTTGCCAGACACTTTAATTTGTTCCTGTAACTTCTGTGGAAAAGCCTATACTATTTCTTAATCACCTTTAAGACAATATCTAAACTCCTTGGAATACAATAAACATTTTATTTTGTAATTTCTAGGCACACTCCTCTTATCAAACACAGAAATTTCGCCATGTCCTTCTTTAAGAGTTCTTAATGGTCCAAATCCAAATTCCTTAGGAGGCACAAAAACACGATCCTGTCATTCTTCCAAGTAGTGTCTAACCCTCTTCGAGTGCTCTGGGAATTCAGTCACATGACCTCACATGAGCCCCGCCCCGCCCACCCGTTACTTGCTGTGAATGATACAGTTTCTCAGCATGAACTGCAAAAGGATGCACTTGTGCCAAACTGTGCCTCCCCTGAGCTGTCCCTGCTCGTTTATCATCTGGTTCATCAAATCCAGGCACCTTAGCATAAAATTTGTTTTGCCAGAGAATTCCCCTGGAGACAGAACTCTTATCAGTCACTCCTTAAAACACTATATTGGCTAACCTCCCAATGCCTCTGCACTGAGGGTTCAAAAATGAGATCATACCCCTCCCTAAAATGAAATGCTCAAATGCCTTCAGCTCTCACATGAAATCTCATCTCCTTGGCTTGATATAAAAATCTGATCATATTATCTTTACCATAAAAATCTACTTTTGTCGCCCTGCTGAAATGCATAAGTTTGAGCATGTAACTCAATTTGAAACTTTTCAAGCTTTCTTCATTGCCTTGTAACATAAAGTCCCAACTACTTAACATAAAATGCAACGTTTTGCCATGTAATTTATCTTCAGACTGGTCTATAAAAAACCTAAATCTCACCCCATCATTCTTTTAAAGCCTTTATTGGCTTAAATCCAAACTTATTAGCATGATAGAAAAATTCGATCTTGTCATCCCTTAAAATAAAATTCACACTTCCTAGCACAGTATATAAAATCCGATCCTGTAACTCTGCCTTAAACTCACACACTCCCTCTCTCAGTTGTGGAATTACGGAATAAAAGGCCAAGTTCTTAGCATAAAATGTGAATTTTATTTTATAATTTCACTGCATACTGTTTATCAAATACAAAAAAATATCATGATGTCCCTCTCTTAGAACTTTATTGGCTAAAATCAAATTTCTAGGCGTGTGGAAGAATCTAATCATGTCAGTGCCTGGAAATAAATTCCAAATATTTTTGCATATTCCCAATGTTGATCATGGAAGTCCCCTGATTGAAATCTCTCAGCTTTGGTGCCAACATCAATCAAACCTTCTTGGCATGTTCCCAGAGTCAGACATTAGCATCCCCTCGACCCATAAAGTCCAAATGTTTTTAGCATGATGCGTAATTTATGGCTGTTCCTTTTCATGTTATAATTTTCAATGTTTCCTCATTGCCTATAATGTAAGAGTCCAAAGCCATTGGCCTTAAAATACATTTTATCATGTTTATCTGCAGACTTTATCTCCCACAACAAAATCCTCACCACATTTCTTAAAACCCTTTGGCAGGAACCCAAACTCTTTAGTATGATTTAAAAGTTTGACTCTGTCACTCTTCAAAATAAAGTCCAGATTTCTTCCCCCAAACCCCCAAGTCTATTCATGAAAGCCCTGCTAAAAATCTTTTCATGAATCTCCATCACTGACAAAATACCTGGACATCTTAGCATGATACTGATTTACTGGTGGCATTCTCAGTTTAAAACCTTCCCTATTTCATGTCCCCAACACAAAACCCAGAGGCCTGAGCGTGGAATGAAAATTGCACCAAGTATTTGCTAAGCGGAAAAATCTTCACGATGCTCTTCGTTACTTTGGATACAAAGCCTAAGCTTTAGCCCCCATTCCTCCTCAGACTTCGCAGGAAGACCTGGTCTCCCACTTCTTGCCCCCAAACAAATCTTGATTTTATTGCCTCCAGGTCTTTTTATATTTTGAAGCTGGTACCTCTGTGTATAGTTCATTAATTCATACAGCGGCATGTCCCGATTCTTTTTTCTAGGACAGGCACTGGATCCTGGGGCTAAAGAAATGGAGGCAGCCTCGCTTTGCTGGACGTCTGTCATCAGCAAGGAGGTGGGGACCACGCCCTTGCGGTTTCATGCCATGCTGGAGGTGAGCGTGGGGTTTGGGGGGCAAGACTGGGAGGTCTCCC